TTGTTTTACGAGATCAATTACGACTAAGTAAGGAATTAGATCTACATTGACTTCTCCATACTTGCAGCTTTTCTACCACATCAAGTTGTACTTAGTAAATCGCTATAAGAAGCCAATAAAATTGCAATTTCTCAAGGAGCAAATATTCTTGAGTCCGAAATAAATGATTAGGTTGAAAATTAATTCAATTTTTTAAAACAAAATAAAGAGAGAGTGTGACTTTGTTGAAACAGGTGGGACAAAAAGTGAAAAATAAAATAGACAAGAGTTCTGGGATAATATGAGGAAAGTTTGAAAAAATGAACATTTAAATAGTCGGTGGGTTGGAAAATAATCAACATTTAAGTAGCCAATCAGCTGTCTGCTTGGAAAATGAGAATAAGTTATGGGTTCCATTGAAGCAACAAATATCCGAAGCAGCCACTAAATCCATTGCAAATTGTAATGAAAGCATAAATGAAATATGGCACCAGAGAAGATTTAATTCAATCAACAATACAATCAAAAGCAAAAGAATCCAATAAACCCCATCCGAAGATCTATGAAAATATTTTAAGGATTCTGGGAAGGTTTCAATGAACAAGAAAACAAATAAACCCAACAGTTAATGATGAAGTATATTCCGTTTTTAAGGAATAAAATATAGAGTCTTAGAAGATGTCATTGAAACATGAACAAAATAAAGTCAATATGTGGAGGGCAGCCAACAAAGAATAATGCATGCTTTAAGGAATAAAACAAGTAGTACAGAAAGGCTTTGTTGAATGTACATCCAAATATTTAAATGCACCAATAAAACATATTTCGCCATAATAGAATAAAATAAAATATTTGAATAGTTTCAATAATGCAGCAATTAAAACTGTAGTTTCAAGGATGCTCCTCGCCTGCAACGCCTATTGGGCCTCCACCTGACACCGGACCTCAAATGGAAGTCCTATATACGATCCATCACTAAAGATGCTGGAAAAATGGTCGGCTCCCTATACCGTCCCAGAAAGTACCTGACTCCTTCTGTCGTGCTCTACTTCTGCAAGAACCAGGTCAGACCAAAAATGGAGTATTACTGCCACATCTGGGCCGAAACTATCCAAGCTTTACTTTCCACTTGTCCAGAATATACACAGATAGAATACACCATGGCACATACACTGAGTCAACCGATTCTTGTTCCCTTTCTTTTCCATTGGTAAAGATTAAGTTCCATTCAGACAGATTCTTTCTCGGTATCACTGCAATGTGGAACGGACTCCCGAAGGGATAATTCGTTGATCACTAAAATTTTAATCTTCTCAAATCGGGGATCGAACGTTATCTATCCTACATAACCTCATATATGCAACCATTGCCCTTCTCCTTATTCTCGCCATTGCAACATCCCAGTTCAGCAAACCTCTAGCTTAATTGGCACTTAAGGCTTTGTATTGTGAGCAACGTTAGGCAGCCAATTAAAAAGACAGCATCTAAAGCCTATAGCAACTTCAAATTGACTATGGTCAGTTTTCGGAGAAGGTTTCATTGAACCAACAACGATATGTACGCAAGAAATACATGCTGCCAGTAATGTCTATTCCAGCCTCTAATAAGTAAAGATATGGCATCTGAAAATCCAAAATCCAAAGAAGCATCGGTAATGTAATCGATCCTGACCAGTCATCTTGACTTTCATGTGGCTTCCCTCTGCCTTTTCTATAAATATTTCCATGACAATTGTTCTGAAGAGTTTTTCTTTCTTGGAATCTCGAATGCTTCAATTTAAGCATACTAACTGGTTTGGCAATTAGGTCTCATCGTTTTACTGTTGAATTAGCTAGAGGGAACTACAAATTCTATTCTAATAGTTGCTTTTCTTGCACTTCTCACCTACCAGGATGCAGACAAAGGAATCGTAACTACCACACAGACACAGCATCGGTTTTGGTGAGCACAATAAACAACACCTTATCCAAAAATTGGAAAAATATGATAACAAAATTAAACAGTTTTTTGTAATCAAACTCATATATATATATATATATATATATATATATATATATATATATATATATATATATATAGAGAGAGAGAGAGAGAGAGAGAGAGAGAAGAGAGAAAGAAAGAAAAGAAAGAAAGAAAAGAAAGAAAGAAAGAACCCTTTTTTTAAAAAAAATCTTTATATATATATATATATATATTTAACCGTTTCACCTCAAGCAAGTCGGGAAGCCACTAGGACGCAAGGGGTTACAGAAGATTTGGAGCGAGAGCAAATAGGAGTGATAGAGGAAAGGATGAACAGAAGGATATTGGATAGATCAAGGCAACTGGATTGTCGATTGACATTACATTTGTAATAGTTGGAGATGATAGCTATCAGGGAAACTAGAATAGGGAAGGTAGTTCGACAGGCGAGAGGTGCGAGGTATGAAGCTATTGGAGTAGAAGAGACGGCTACATTTAATAGTTTCGACAGTGAAAGGGTGAGAGCGGGATGCCAGCCTCGTAGGACGCTTGAAATCATGAAGTCTGGGAACCAGCGAATGCATCTCCTCGGAGCAATTACCATGAAAGTATTTGTAAAAAAAAGACAGAGAGAGGCGACGGCGCGTCTGTGAGAGAGCGACTGCAGACGAGATGCCAGAGCAGGGCCAATTATATTGCATATTTGCCTCTGGATCTTATCAAGAACCCCGAGGCAAACAGAAGGGGCACCAGACCATATATGGCAGCAATACTCCATGGAAGGACGAATTTAATGGCGTAACAATAATGCCAATAACTCTCTGTCGCTGAAACTGACTAGACGATATGCGTCTAGTGAATATCATCATTCGCTTTAAAATAGACACCCCGACCATACCTTGACTTAATTTCTTTCCGAAAGTAACTGATATGTTGATACAAATTGTTAACACTTACGCCCCTTATTGAAATAATTGCTACAGCCGTTTCCATAGTAATTAATTGTACGAATCATTCTGCTTATAAAGATGCAGAAACTTCAAGATCTTTGTCGCCATATTTATTACAACATTTTGGCCGTTGTACGTTACGGCTTTCTTCAGGTGGTTGGAATGTCGAACTTAACCCTTTATTTCGCTCACTGGGGTAGACTGTTCTAGTTCCACGTGCCATGTTTAATGGATGTCAGTTATCAGTTATCTCCTGTTAATTCCCCTCTGAAAGTTCTCCACTGCCTTAACCGGGTATTGAACTCACACTCTTTGGGTCTTGTCACTGGATGTAACTAACACCTTTATCCACTCTGTCATGTGTCCTTGAAACATGGCACGTGGAACTAGAACAGTTGACCCAGTGAGCGATATAAAGAGTTCAGTTTGACATTCCAACCACCTGAAGAAGGCCGGAGCGTACAAGCTTAAAACGTTGTAATAAATATGGCGACAAAAATGAGGACAATAGTCCGAATAGTGTAAATAATGTACCTAATACATCATCTCAGAAATATATATATATATATATATATATATATATATATATATGAGTGAACAATGCGGTCAAATCCCAGCGGCGACAATCTGTTTCATTTTTATTATATATAATAAAAATACAGTGTTAATGTATGCTATGTTTGTGGTTAATATTAGTGATACAGTGTATATAAACATATATATATATGTAAGTGGACATTGAAGTTAACACCCACCGTGAGCTTATGTTTCATGCTTAACTGCCATATGTTGACTTCAATATTCATAGGCTTTTCATCATTTATTTATATATATGTATGTAATATATATACATCCCTACCCACTACCAAAACGTAGCAATAACTGATACATTAAAATATAGACATATTGAACACCCAGACAATCCCTCGTCTCGTAAAATGAATTCATCTGTAACCGTGGAAACATGAATTATGTTTTAGCTGTGTCTTTAAAACCCAGTAATTTTAAAAGATACTCCAAAATTCGCTTGAGGATGAAATGGAACTAATGTCTTTAATTTAATTACAAAATTAAATTCGGACTTTTTAGCTTCCATTTTGAAACATGGTTAGAACTGTGTAGCGGAAAAAAAACTATATTTTAAATCAATTAATTTATATTATATATATATATATATATATATATATATATATATATATATGAAAAATTTCTTAGAGTTAACCTGTAGAAAAACAATACATATATATATATATATATATATATATATATATATATATATATATATATATATATTATGAAATGGACAAAGTCCGACAATTTTTAGACATATATTTTTTTCATAAACATAAAAAATGTCTTAAATATATATATATATATATATATATATATATATAAATATATATATATATATGTGTGTGGATGTGTGTGTGTCTGTGTGTGTCTGTGTTTGCATATATATCTGCATCTGTTTTTATTCCTGATGATTTCTCATATCTTCCAATAAATCTCTGTTAATTTCTACCGATTTAACCAGTGAACATTAACTGACTAAATATATCTGACAAGATCCTTTTTTTCTCTCTATTTCCCACTCCCCCACTTTCTCTTATCTCACTCTTTCTCACTCTATATATTTCTACGATCCCCGCATCCAATTCCTATTTCGCTTGAACGGTCAAATTTTCAGTAATATGTCAACCTAACCAAGCGACATGCCTGTCTGTCGGGTGAAACTCAGACAAATAACCACATCAGATTTTCCCTCACACTCTCACAGACGACACACATTCACATCCAAATTTACACAGATATAGATATCATTGTTTCTTCAGGACATAATTCGGTGAGTGTCAGTTCGATATATTGATTTGGGGCGGGAGGGGGTAGAATCATCTTTCTAGTCAGATTGTCCCTGCTCATTTAAAATGCCGCCACGCTTTTGTTTGCTAAAAGACACGCTGTGTCATATCTGAAAGTTAAACAATTTGGGAATAATAAATTCCATAATGACTACCAATTAAAATATCTCTTGAGATGAAACAAGGTGTATCTCTTAAATCTCTCTCTTTATATCTATCTATCTATCTATCTATCTATCTATCTATCTATCTAACTAGATAGATAGATAGATAGATAGATAGATAGATAGATATAAAGAGAGAGACTTAACAGATAGATCTTGTATCTATCTATCTAACAAGATAGATAGATTGATAGATAGATACAAACTTGTGCAAATTAATTGAAACAACCGCTTTAGTTTCCTTTCTTTCACTAATCGGTCAGTGGAGTGACACGGTGTAATCGAGTTCTATTTTTTCCTCAGATTAGGTCATTTGTAGTTGTGTGGAGTAATATGAATCTATTTTCGGGGTGTATGATGAAATTTATTTGGCTTTGAAAATTATTGCGTCATCCGTGATTGCATCAGATTTTCTTCACGCCCAGACACTATTGTTTTGACTGTCGATTAGTTGTCCTACGGCAATGGACGTTACTCCAAGGAATCGTACGAAAATTGTAATGCTGCACAAACACAATGGCAAGCCTTACCAGTGAGCAAATCAAAGTACAATAGACTGGACCGGAAACTCTCCTGATTTAAATCCAATCGAGAATCTGTTGTCAATCAGCAAGGAACGACTTTGTGGAATGGACATACGAAGTACTAACATGCACTTTGGGTGGTTTCATTGGAAAAATGCGAAAATTATTCGTTTCATTTCAATTAATTGGCACAAGTAAGGTTGTATATATATATATATATATATATATATATATTTGTATATATTTGTATTTGTAAATTGATTGCACGTTTATTGTAATTTAAATAACTGATCCAAGTGCGACTTTTAGATAATAAGTGCGACATTACTGTAATTATTGAGCAATATAGTTCATGCCACTTTGACAGAAAAATTTACGAGTAAAAAAATTTGTTCATCACCATATTTTGTATAAACGCAAACACTTTAAAAATTTAAAATCAAACTCAGCGTTGCTTCGGCGCGTTCCAAAACCAATAACTCTTTTTCAATAGCATTTTCGGATACAACAACACATATATTTTCGTTGTCCTCTTATTACTAAGAAAAAAAAACAAAAAAAAACAACATCTATTCTATACCTGAAGATGTCTGTAGGAACAGACGAAAGCTTGTAAAAAAAAATAACAACTAATACGGCAGAAATTTATATAAACAAGGATCAATTCATTCATAACGGATCTGGAGGTTTTTTGTATACTATTTGAATTGTTTGCGATGATGGATGTCTCGCCATTTAAATCATTAACCTTTGCATTAGTTTTGTGAATAATTCATGTATATATATATATATATATATATATATATATATATATATATATATATATATATATATATAGCCCACCTGTTGTTTATACTGCAACTATCCTGTAGCATGTTATCTCGCGTGATCAACAATCTGATCAAGGCTAGCACGCTCAAACCCTCGGTCACGATGACTTGTGACTTCGTGCTAGCACAGACATCAATAGCCTTCCAAAGCTTACCATCTTCTCAATTTCATTCACAACGCTTGTGTCAACCTGTGCTATGGTTTTCAGGCACTTTCCAAAGGCACTGCACTCGATCCAGTCCGGTAACAACAGCAACTCTACTTCCTGACAAATCATCCAGGGTGAGTTTCGAAACCGAGTCTCAGAAAGCGAAAGTTCTAATCACTCGGCCACCCGCCCATAACAGTATTATATATATATATATATATATATATATATATATATATATATAAAGAAAAACAGACCACTTTAAGGTTCCATTATAATCAATTTATTTCACCAGAGCCCTTTTAAAGGACGCCGTATCATCAGATAGAACTTCCAAAATGAAGTGAAAAATGAAATGAAAATTGATGGGTTAGTTTAAGTTTTGTAATTTAACAGAGAGTGTAATAATGAGTGGTTACATGAGACATGGTAGAGTTTAGAATGGGTTTAATTTAATATTTCTCTCAATCATACTTAGTATTGGGGGAGGAGGATCGAGCTCAACTCGCTCATGTGGCTAACGATCTGGAAGAGGCACATAAGTTGAGCACATAGGCGCCTCTTATGTGACGAACATATAGCAGTATATATATGTATATATATATATATATATATATATATATATATATATATATATATATATATGAAATATATATATAAAATTTCTCATATATATATATATGTATATATATATATACGAAAATTTCTCATATATATATTCTTCTCATATATATATATATATATGAAAATTTCTATATATATATATATGAAAATTTCTCATATATATATATTTTCATATATATATATGAAATTTTTCACATATGTATATATATATATATATATATATGAAAATTTCTCATATATATATATATATATATATATGAAAATTTCTCATATATATATTTTCTTAAATATATATATATATATATATATATATGAAAATTTCTCATATATATTTCTATATATAGATATATAAAATTTTCATATATATATATATATATGAAAAATTTCATATAGATATATATATATGAAAATTCTCATATATATTCTTCTCATATATATAAATATATATATATATGAAAATTTCTCATATATATATATATATATATGAAAATTTCTCATATATATATATTTTTCATATATATATATGAAAATTTCTCATATATATATATAAGAAAATTTCTCATATATATTTCTCATATATATAAAATATATATATATGAAAATTTCTCATATATATATATTTTCTATATATGTATATATATATATATATGAAAATTTCTCATATATTTTTTATATATATATATATATATGAAAATTTCTCATATATATATATGTTCTCATATATATATATATAATTTCTCATATACATATATATATATGAAAATTTCTCATATATATATATATATATATATATATATGAAATTTCTCATATATATATTCTTCTCATATATATAAATATATATATATATGAAAATTTCTCATATATATATGGAAATTTCTCATATATATATTCTTCTCATATATATAATATATATATATATATGAAAATTTCTCATATATATATATATATATATATATATATATATATATGAAAATTCTCATATATATATATATATATATTTTTCATATATATATGAAAATTTTTCTCATATATATATATATATATGAAAATTCTCATATATATTTCTCATATATATAAATATATATATATATATGAAAATTTTCATATATATATATTTCATATATATATATATATATAAAATTTCTCATATATATTTCTTGTATATATATATATATATATGAAAATTTCTCATATATATATATATTTTCATATATATATATATATTTTCTCATATATATATATATATATATGAAAATTTCTCATATATATATATATATATATATATATTTGAAAATTTCTCATATATATATTCTTCTCATATATATAAATATATATATATATGAAAATTTCTCATATATATATGGAAATTTATATATATATATATATATATATATATATATATATATATATATATATATATATATATATATATATATATAGATATACAGTAGCGTCCAAAACTAAGGGACAACATTTTAAAACCTTATATTTGTTAGAAATATCAACTGTGAAAAGCTGAAATTTTGACAACTGGTAGTCGTTATCATCCATAATAACATACTAAAATTTAAATCATTTGCAAAGGATAGAAAAAGAATTATAACAATTATTTATTTATTTTCATATTTGGAACGTCCAAAAGTAATGGACAAAATTGAGAAAAACAATGTAAACGGCAAAAAAACAATAAAAATACATGTACAATCAATATTTAGTAAATGAGCCCTTGCTCTCTATGACAGCTGCACATCTTCGACTACAAGAACGAATCAGTTCTTGACAATCCTCGATGCTAATTTTAGACCATTCTTCTTGAAGCTTCACCCACAAATCCTCCGTGTTAGTGGGATTTCTTTCTATAACTTTCACTCCTAAGGTCTTCCAAAGATTTTCTATTGGATTTAAGTCAGGACTTTGCGGTGGCCAATCCATAATTTCCAAATCTTGCTCGCTAAGGTATCTCATTACCACCTTTGCCTTGTGACATGGGGCGAATATGTTGAGACTTTTGCAGATTGACCAGTAATAATTCTTCTTTTGCTGCAAAAATTCTGCCTTCGCCCGTATTTGTTCCCATATTTGTTCCTTAGTCTCCACGTGACGGTCCATTGCGGCAGCGGAAATGATGATGTTGAGATTAGGGGGGTTTCGATGAATCGCCTCCCAAGTCTTCCGGTATTGTTCGTTTTGAGTGTTCTTACAGTACAGCATGACGTCGGCCAGGTCTGTGCTGTTACAAACTTTCATCATCTTCTTGATGAAATCGTATTTTCTGTCGCGTACTGTCGTCTTTCTCTCTTCCCGGCCGTCGTCGGATGATGATCTGCCGGCGTTCTTTTGTAAGCAAGCGATCCGTCAACCTACGTCACATTTCGCGTTGTCCCGTCATGGCGATGTTGTCGGCCGCCCCAACCTATTTCTGACCGGGATCTTGCGTTAGGTACCTGCACAGCCCGTCTGGGTTGTACACCTTCTGTGCCAACACTGTGTACGGATTGCTCCCCCCCCCCTCGTTTTCAGCAGTTTTTTTTTTTTTAAGATGTTGAAGGAATTACAGGCACGCCGTGTGTTGACAGTGCCATGTCAACATGTGGAAATGGTCGACGTCGCTGCAGGTTTTCAGCTTGCTGGGACCCTGTGGTACACCACGAAGTTTGGTCAGCTCTTCAGCACGTTTAGAAGATATCTCTTCTCTTCGTTCTCGCTGCCTTTTAGAGCCGACTTTGCTGGTAAAAGATTGTTTTCTTTCGTCAGGTTGATCACGAATACGCTCGGTGAGTCCCATCAGTATATACAAGTGTAGCACGTGAGCTTCTTTTCACCGTATCTCTCGTCCACCAGAACTGCTCTGTTGAACGCCTCTCGTTTACTGGAGCTGCCACGTTTAACCTCGTTATCAGTTATCTCCTGTTAATTTCCCTCTGAAAGTTCTCCACTGCCTTAACCGGGTATTGAACTCACACTGTTTGGGTCCTGTCACTGGATCTAACCAACGCCTTCATCCACTGTGACATGTGTCCTTGAGGACAACATGGCACTGTGGAACTAGAACAGTCTACCCCAGTGAGCGAAATAAAGGGTTCAGTTCGACATTCCAACCACCTGAAGAAGGCTGGAGCGTACAACGGCCGAAACCTTGCAATAAATATGGCGACAAAGATGAGGACAATAGTCCGAATGATGTAAATAATAATATATATATATATATATATATATATATATATATATATATATATATATATAAGTGATGGTTGTGACTCGATTTTGAACAATATCATCGCTTGAGCTATCCTTAAATATAGGCAGCACTGATGTAGCTTTTTACTTCTGCTACGGCATTACATGCGGCAACAAAGTCATTTGCAGTGGTTTGTTACAAAAGTGTTGCATCACGTGTAATAAATGACTTATCTCTGTTTATTGTGTCTTTGATGATTTATAGGCCTACCCTACCGGGGCAGACGCAACCCCATTCATTAAAGGTTAGATCAAATTCTGTGACAATGTCTTCATGAAAATTAACCTCCAGGCACTTACAAATAGTTTTTCAGAATGATGTTGGCCTTATTTTCATTGGGTTCACTAGATGCAATCTTTATATCCCAATTTAGGCTTGTACGCCGGTCTTTTTCCATCAGCCAATTTACCGTACAGACACACACATACATGTATATACATCATGTATGTATGTATGCATGTATGTATATGTGTGTGTGGGTATGTGGCTGAGTGGTTAGAAAGTTCTGATCATGAGATCCGGGTTCGAATCTCACCATGGTGTATTTGTCATGAAGGAGATTCCTGATGTTCTCGGACTGGAAGGGCACCTTTAAAATCAATACCATGGGTTAAGCCTGGTGAGTAAAAATAAGTTGACGCGCTGTGACAAGTTACCGTGGCCGAGGGCTTGAGCGTGCTGGCTTTGTTCAAATTGTTGATCACGTAAATAACACACACTCTCCCAGAAACTGTAACTAAGGCTTATTCCGTATAGTTTCAGTATAAACTACAGGTGGTCTCTGCGGATGTTGAGTAAACACAAATGTGCCTGAGCGAGTGTCTGCAATAGGGATTGGCTAGCCACCCTAGTAGACGCGTATCCTCGAATACGAGTGGCCAGCTATATATATATATATATATATATATATATATATATATATATATATATAAGTGAACATTGAAGTCAACACTCAGAGGCACGGGCTGTTTCATGCTGGACGCAATCGTCAGGCGGCGATTATATATATATATATATATATATATATATATATATATATATATATATATATATATATTATATTTATTTACTATCTATCTCTGATATTGAGCACTTTATCCCATAAATATAAAACACCTTAAAAATATATTTCTTCATATATATATGGATAGTTTTTTGTGTATGTGTTTTTTTTAATCATTTCATCCTAAGCAGGGCAAGAAAGCCACCAACACTCAAGGATTGTTACTGAGTGTGAAAGAATATCAAAAAAAGACAAATATTATTAAGGAGAGAGAACAATAAAAGAAACACGATAATAATTGATATAGCATTTAAATTTTTAAAGATCAAGTTTAACTGGAAAGCAAGAAGCTGGAAAAGTCTTCTACAAGTGAGAAGTTCGAGAATAAAATGTTAACAGGTAGTCTCTGTGAGAAGTGAATAAACACAAATGTGCCCGAGCAAGCGTCAGTAATAGGGACTGGCTCGAAGATACCTGTTAGACGGGTAAACTCGAATAGGAATGGCCAAATATACTTATACGTGTGTATGTATGTATGTATGTGTCTGTGTATCTCCATAAATTAAAAATTTACGATGGTCATATTCGACAATGCGTTGGCGGACATTATACACCCACACGCACTCACACACACAGATACACACGCGCGCACACACACACACACACAGACATGCACACACACACACACACACAGACATGCACACACACACACACACACACACAGACAGACATATGCCACCCAAATATACCTCATTGAAATTCCGCCCACATAATGAGAATACGTTCTGGGTAAGACGTTAAACTACATCCGCGTCCTGGGTAAGGCGTTAAACTACGTCCAGCAGCAAGACCTCTCATCAGGAGGTTTTGAGGAGCGTGGAACCACCTCTTAATTGCCGGTGTTCTCGTGTCCACCCTGACCTCGGGTGGTAGCACCTGTTAGGGTCCTAGCTATGGGCAAATAGTTAACTATTACCAGCAATACTTTTTTGAACAAAATTATTACCAGCAATACAATTTTGAAAGGAAATATATTACCAGAAACAGATTTTTGTCAAAATAAATATTACCAGCAATCAAAAATGTTGTCGGCATTAAATAACCCATTGAGGTTGATATGCCGTAAAACAAAATAAACCAAACCAAAGAATACATATTCTATTCATACAAATCTATCCTAAAAATGTTGTCGACATTAAATAACCCATTGAGGTTGA